CAGCGTAGCGGATGTCAGGCTGGCCAGGGATTGGCGCGTAAATTGAGTTTTGCTCCCTTTGAGTTTTGCTCCCACATTATTGAGAAACATAATCGTTGTGATGGAGAGTAATAGCTCTCTAAGCCGTAAGCACAGCCTTCTATATGATGACTGGGAGGGCGGAGGGCTGCTGCATACGAAAGGGCTAGGGTAAACTGGCAACCCGGGACTAATTGACTACCAGGCGATCTTGCCAGATTGCCAGATCTACTGTCATGGATTTTAGTCTTGCAACCTATTGGTTGATATAATACACTAACTGAAACCACGCTAATTGTGCTGACCTTCGAACTGAGTCCAGACACTATACGGAGTAGAGGCAGAATATTTATCGATACTCGGCTCTATTTTCTAGAGATATGATACGAGCGAGCTTCTTCAATTGCCGGGTAGGATGGTCTCCACAATAGACCACTGCCTGACTATCGGTAACTGAAGTAAAGTTCAGCGCTAACCCCAGAGAGCTTCCGTAGCCGCTCTTTTAGGAATACAGTTCCCAGCTATTGTGGGGTCGCAAACCTTGGCGCCGTATAGTAATAGTCCTCAACTTAGTTTTGGAAGTCAACAAGCCCAAAGGCCTACGGGTCCAAAACTTACTCCTCTACGACAGACTTTTAGTGGCTCTCCGGGTCGCACCCACACGTCTTGTGACATATATTGTATCACTCGCTTTGGAGCTGAAGCATGAAATTACAAGAGAATGCCCTTTTGCCGCCGTGACGGCCTTGACGGTGCTGGGTTTTACGCAGATTGGGTAAGTATATGGGCGTTTGCTTGTAATACTTAATGGGCGTGACTTACCAGATATAGGTTTGACAATGGCCTTATGGGAGGCCTCGTGAACCTAAGTGCCTTCAATGATACGTTCAACTCACTCACCACTACCATGGTTGGCCTTATTGTTTCTATCATGCAGATTGTCATTTTTGGGTAGCCTTCCGCAAAATGCCCCTGAGTCACCCCAAAAAGTCTCCGAAAAAACACCTTTTTGCATAAAATCCAGGCGTTGGCGTGTATAAATCTGCTAAATAATAAGATATAATCCTGTTTTTTACACTTGTGTTGATTCTGCTGTTAGAGTACTATATGATCCTGCTTGAAGGTATTCGTAATTTGAGGTAATAATCTCAAATTAGGGATGGATGTAGCTCGTTTTAAATTCTTTACTAAAATTTGAAGAATTTAGATGATTTTAGTGGCGTGTAGGTAGTATGCAGGATCTTTGTTGATGAGGTTGCTGAAATATAAACTTGTTGTTTGCAGGAGAATTTATACCTACTGGAAGTACGAATACGGGTAATTATTCTGATATCTACTTATTTGATTCCGTAACTGATGGGTAAGGTTTTTCTATTCTAATAGTCTTGTTCTGTTCGACTAGCGGTATCGGGCAATGGTTCCGTTTTAATCGATCTAGCCTTCAGGCTAGGTTCCTAGTATAATTGGATGTCTTGCTCTGACCGGGTGAAACTTTTTGTGGATCCCTAGCCTGATAAAAGGTGGGAGATGGGGTACTATGGGACTTCTCTGGGGCTTTCTGGGGTACTTCTAGGATTATTTGAGATTTTTCTGGGGTTTTGTTGGGATCTTCTGGGGCCGCCCCAAAAAGATAATCGATAGCCAATTAAAAGCATAACCTAGTAAATTCCTTTTAACCGATCCCCTTCTTCTCAGTATTCCTGAATCACAATAATAAAGATATTCTCGAGAACATGGGTCAGGCATCCGATCTGCCACAAAATTACTGACAGTATGTATGTATCTAGTCAAGTTTACAGTCCATACAGAGCCCCTTGCGCTATGGCAGACCGTTTGCAAATTGCCTACATCCAAGCACATCCAGTTACTTCCAGGTCTTTGACTCGTTTTCCTCGCCACAATTCACACATTCGCACAGACCTTCTGGTGTAGCTTTATAGCCTCCTCGTATTCATGACATTTTTTGCCGGTTCAAGCTGATTTCCTGGGGGAATGAGGTGTTCTAAGTGTCTGAGCACCACGCTAGACAGAGCTAGTAAAGTTGAAAAGCGTTTTGTGGTGGATGTTGTGTTTCAGCGATGGGAATCAAAGGTGGCGCCGGAAACGTATTACGGAACCCATGACTCAACTACATTTCTCTAGAGCTTTTCACTGACCTATATATCTCAAGTTGCTGCCACAGACAGGGGCATGGGTACGTTTATGTCTAATCCCAAATTTCTATGTCAATGGATCTTGCGATTTCAGCGACAACCCTCTCAGGGAGCATTCTGTCTAGCGCAGGTATCGCTTTCATAATCAGCCGTCATTTTTGGCCGGTTACCCCTCGGCCTTTCCATAACGCTTTGGTTATAAATCTTCTATTTGCAAGTAATTGTCCATATCTATCTCTCATGTCCGTTTTCCTTGATGATAGATAACTGATATTTAGGGGAACTTGCAGACTTTGCAAATGCTTTGAATAACAGCATTTCTGGCCTCGTTATCGTGACCAAGAACAAACCCCTGGCTGATGGCGTTGGTTGTACCATAAATGGATTTATCGGACAACTTTCTGTGCAGGTTAGTTTTCCTCCCAGTATCTCTCTTTTGAGCATTTTTAGCTCGTCTTTCTTCATCTACACTAAATCCTAGTTCCTGACAGGTCACTCTTAGGCTGTGGATTGTTCCACCTTATCAATCGCTATTTTGACTCTCGTCATGGTTTTGTGTCCTCGTACAGTCATAAAGCAAACTGTTAGGCGCCAAATTGGTCAGGTTGGATGTGTCTGGATATTACCTATTATCACTAGTAAGACCTCGGCCGCCGCACTATCTCTCTTCTGACCTAAAATAGGTTCTGTGGCCCTAATAAAGGGTTACATCCACCCAGTCAGTGGGAACTGGTGCTGGATCCAAGACCATCCCGTGTATTTGCGATACGTGCTTGCGCATGCATGGCGGTTCGCTATAATAATCTTCCTCATTTGCCAGTGCGTGATTGTTCACATACACCTTCGGCATCTGGTCAACTATCCACCCTGGAGCGGCAATAGCAACGATTTGAGTACCCATGACGAATTACCTTCTTCAATACCAATGAACCCAAGTCCTCCAATGGGAATAACCGTTGATGCCACTGAAAATCATTATAAGTTAGGTGTCGAAAGGGCGGAAAATCTTTCCAGGAAAGGTAACTTATAACTTGAATATGGATGAACAGAAACCTAGCTAATAGATCTCTCTGAAGGCCGACTTAATAGGTCTTCCCACGATTCCGCTAGACCTTTGAAAAACGAATTCGACCCTGACTCCTTTTCCAACGCGGATATATCTACGAATGGCGCGACTCTTCCTACGAGTAGGGTGGACTTTGAGACCAAAGGTCTCAGGAGAAAGCAACACGAGATTCTCTTTCGGAAAATTAGAGCCCTCAAGATTTATCCGACACTGTACATTATCCTCTGGCTTCCAGGAATAGCATCCCGCATTGCTGATGCTATGGGGCATGATCAGAAAATCCTGGATCTACTTCAAGCGTCGACCCAATTTATTGGTCTGGCCAACGCAATTGCATTTGAATGGATACAAAGGATAGCGCAACGTTAAATGAACACTTCGACAATTAAGTTCCTACGTCTCGATCTCTCCTCTCTTTCCCAAGTGCGCGCCTTTGCAGAAGACTGGGAAACCAACCAGTTCCCGCCAATCCAATCCCTCGTCTTCAACGCAGCCCTACGGTTTCCCGGGAGAGTGGAGTACACCTCTTGACCAACAGTCAATTGGTGCTTCAGGCATTAACGAAAATGTTGCACTTTCAGTTGGTTTCACGCATTGTCTCCAAAACATGCGCCGACTCGAAGGTATCTGGATTTGCCTCGTCAGTACGAGATAAATTCCGTCCTGCTTCCGATCCTCAAAGTACAGTCGCCATAGCGAGACGACTATTTCAATTTGTATCACTCGCGAGGCCCCACTTCCTTCCTCCATAAAAGCCATTTGCTTCGAAGCATAACTGCGTTGTATGATCTCGCTGTGAGGAATGCACAGCAAAGCTAGTAGTCGGCAAAAGCTATTCAACACCGCATGTACTGATTTTATATCTGTAGATCCCACGACGGAAGCCACTGGCTGGGGTGAGTTCAGTGAGTTCACCTACGATCTCGGTATCTCGCCCATACCTTCGAAATCGGAGATTAATCCGCCAAAATCACAGCCTTTGGAAACAACCTCGTATCCAACCCCCAGTCTGTTCCCAGTCCAGACGTAAGAACCAATACGTTAGGCTCTGATTTCTCGACTCCGACGGATCTCGATCCTTTCCAGTTGCTAGATGTGCCAAGACCCGCACATTTGCACCCGACCCAGTCCACATTCGATTATACGCCGCGACCGGCAACTGGCCTAGAAAGTTCTACGCTACATAATACGCCCGAAAATATGAATGGCGTTGGCATGAGTCCACCACTGGCAGAGCCAGCGGCGCTCATCTCCCAAGCTGCTGAGCAATGTTCAAGTCCACATATGGTTGATGACCCTGCTGAGGGAAATCAATTCGCTAGTCAGTCTCTTTCCCTTGAAGCTTGCAACTTGCCCAGGTCCCTGAAGTTGCGCCCCTAGACCATGCTCAAAACATGATACTATTGTTTCCGGATTTAAGTACAAACAAACTTCGACAAGCTATGGAACTAGGTGACCGTCTTTTCCCCCAAGACTTGCCCACTTGGAATCACAGGTCAATCACTGGCAAGCTGAACGATTGTGGAGTTTCGTGGGTGTTTCACCAGGGTCGTCTGCAAGACAAAGGATCGCTGGAATCTGTAGACACATCAAAGACATGGGCAATCCAAACGCGGAAAACTACATGAGGATTCGACTCACAAAAGTCCAAGTCGACATGCTCTATGAGACCACCGCCAGGCCCTGGTGCGAATTTCGACTTTCAAGTGACATCGCCACTGTATGAAGTCATTCCATCTAGCAACGGACCGACCGAGCAGTATATGATAGGAGTTGCACTGGGTAGCCCAGGCATGATCAACGAAGATGAACCTTTACCGCCGCCTCGGTTCGATACAGCAATCTTCGAGCCAGAGCGAATGACACAAAGCCCCCAGGCTTACAAACAGAGCAAGTGGAAGAAGATTCGGGGAATGTTCAGGGCAAAGAATGCACTTACATCGCCATCAAATCAACTACATGGAAGCTTGGCTCAGCAACCCGAGAAGTCCAACAAGCCCAAGGAAAGGAATAATTCTTTGGAAGAGTGGCCGGCTTTTGAGGTAGACCCTAAGACAATCATGGGCGGCGTTAATCAAAGCCCTCCACGTTCTCAGAAGTTTTCACTGAGCGGGAGGAAAGCGCCTCCAGAGGAACCACCCGTTCAAAGGCTGCTGAGTGTCGACATCCCGGATATCCAAATGGAGCGATATAGTGTCATGTTCAGCGACGTTGTCAACAAGAACGAGAGACCTTCACTGCTGGCCAGAAGGGCAAAGATATTGGACAATCTCCGTGTCCCGGACGCAAATGTAGGACTTATCCGAAATATGTCTTGATATAGAACTTCTGATATGATATAGGGATTTCTGAAAGCGCCTGCGCCACCTCCAATGCCACAACGCCGGGCAGCGTCGCCCGCGAGATCTAGCTTCACCTTATTCCCAAGCTCACAGCCGTCCAAGGTGGCTCGGTTACTCGGCACGCAGAATAACAGGAATATCCTGTATAGCTAGGGAAATACAATTGTCGGGACATAACGTCCCGTTCTTGGTGTACGCATTCTTGCGCGGAGCTGCGGCTCCGGTGTTGTGACCGCCGAGTGTCCGTGCATGGGATTAAGGGGTATCTTGGAACCTGAGATGACCTGGAACGAACACATCTATCTACATGAATCAATCAACTTTCGCTTTAGGAGCATAAACACTGTTCACTTAACTGTGTACACGGTACCTAGCTGGTGATACCAACAACAATGGATGTACTAGGCGATTGGCGCAACGGAATCAAAAAGGGGAACTACCCAAAATGATGAGATCAAAAGAGTGTTGATTCCTGTCTCCTATCTACTGGGATCGAGGGGGTTAAAATAGCCTCGAGAATACCTGGTATCGAATCCTCTAGAATCCCAGAGGTACCGTTTGGGTCAATACGATGCTGATCACCATTTTCCTGACAAATAACTTAATGATCCTCCAGTAATATTCACATCTAGACACGTCTACATGTCGCTCAAATTCATCGATTACGCCTCTTCATATTTCCCTTGGCTGGAGAGCACTGAGCCAAGGTTAAAGACACTGGTGAGCTGCCATATACATGTCCCGGAATAAAAGCTGACCCTCCAAGCTGGTTGGAACAGACGAGTCTGGCTTCTTCTCTCTCCTTCTTTTGGCGAGGATCCCTTGAACATCCCACCAGAATTTGCGTACTGACAGCGAGCCGAAGTGGAGGTGAGGGATAACAGCGTCGTTGATTGGGGTTCAAAGTCCACTGGTGAGGTGTTCGGTTTTTCGAACCTCCCGATGTAGTCCTCGAGCTTGATGCAGTCTCCAAAAAGTTTTAAGGCTTCTGTCTCGCCTCCTGATGAGGAGTTGCAGCTTCCGATATATCCATACCCTTGTTTTCGAAAGTTGGAACTCCAAAATCATTATTTGGGCCCATCGATTGAGAGTATTGAGCATCCGCCTTGAAATCCGGCTCATGATCAACCGAGTCATGCTCGAGACAGCTCATATCCATTTTATCCTCCTCCCATGGGTCCGGGATGCTCTTGTGTGCCTCGACTGGCTTGTCCGGGCTGCCGTTATTAATCTTCTCAACAACCTTTTCGAGTTGCGCGATACTCATTGTCGGTTTGTCGCCATTCTTTTCAACCACCTCGTCGGGATCAAACAGAGTCCTACCCATTTTGACAATCACCTCTCTTTTCGGCCATCTTGATCACATCAATATCTCTGTCCGTGGCATACGCATCTGTGTCCTTCTCAAACACCAGGTGCGCGACACCCCAATGTTTCCAAAGGTTGGGAGGATAGTCTGCGGCGCTTCGCGAACGACCAAGAGCTTTTGATTTGGAGTCAGCTTAGTCTATGACTTCGAGAGGTCCGTCTGGCATTCTTGCAAAAGTCGCCATCTGCTTGGGTCTACTCGTGCTCGGTAGACATAGTGAGAATCCTAAGTCCACACCGGGATGAAGATGGATGACTTCGTGTAAAGCTGGAGAATCATGAAGTCGCAAATCTCTTCCCTGCCAGTAGAGGACTACTGGTCTTGATGCATTTCCTCCTCTCATCTTGTAGTTTGGCGACTGATACCCGAGTGAATCTCACAACAGATTCCTCCTTGACAATAATTCACAGATTGGCAAATTCTATTGGGGTCCTCTTGTTAAGACGTGTAAATTGAGTTATGCAAGGGGCTCAGATCGAGATGGAGATCGGGAAATTTGAATGTGTGATCTCACCACATGTAAACAATCAATGACATTTTGCAACTCATAGTAACTACGGCGCGTGGAATACGAAGTATCCTTGATATATATAAATGTGATACCATACGTATCTATATCCTAAATATGGCTATCCTTGTTTTATTGACAAATGGTTCAGCCGAAGAAGCCCCGAATTTGTTCGTCAGACAAAGTCTTCAAACCAAACGCCTCGTTAAACAGCTTTCCGGAATCGAACTGGCTTCCGAAACCTTCTCCAAAGATTGCTCGCCGGATGAAAAGGGGAGCAAAGACTCCTGGGTTAGGAGCCGGCTTGCTCAACTCCGCAAACGCATCCTTTTCCAAATCAATTGTCGAGACGGTCTTCGTCTCAAGACTCTTGCCCGACAAGACCAACAGCTCTTTCTGGGACACAGAGGCAGAGCTGACGTAAACGGTCTTGTTCTTGGTTTCCGGGAGGTTGTTGATGATTCCAGCAATTCCGCGACCAACATCGGCGAGAGTGGTGGCATTGAATTTTCGCTCGCCGCCATCATACAATGTTGCAACGGGTCCGGAAATATTGAGCAAGAATCCCACTTTGAGGCCCCAGTCAAGGAAGGGGCCAGTGATGAGGAGCGAATAACTCAGACCAGATTCCTTATTGGCCTTTTTAAGATGTTCCTGGGTGGCCACCTTGTCGCCATAGACGGGGAGCTTGGCAGTCTGGGGATTGGTCGTGTCGCATCCGTATTCTGAGGGGATGTACCGCTTTACCCCGGCGGCGACAGCGGCGTCAACGAGACGGAGGTGGGTGTCCCGTGGCACTGCACTCATACCAAGTGTGCTGACCACGACATCCTGGCCAGTCAGGGCATTCTTGAGGGAGTCAAGAGATTTATAGTCGACTTTTGCGACTTGGGCTCTTGCGTTAGAGGTCTTGTCACTATCTTGACGAGACAGAACTGTCACATCGAACCCAGCGTCCAGCAATTGATCCAGGACAGCTGGGCCTAGGTTGCCGCTTCCCTGGTCTATGTTAGTTGAGTGCAAAAGATAGGAGGGCAAGGTTACTTACACCGGCAAGAGCAACTTTAGCAGGCATTTTGTCAAGACCAAGTCTTGGGTTGGTAATGTTCGTATCGAAGTTGGCTTGATTGAAGGTAGAATAGTTCAACTTTCGAGGAGGCGCACACTCTTTATATACCTGGATACATCCTTTGCATTGTTGGAGGGATTCGCAATCGCTTTCCTCTTTGTAATCATCCCGGGCACATCATTTTGCATGATAAGTGATAAAAATGCCGAGTTGGTCAGCCTTAAGATCTTGGTCCCGCGCTTACATGTACATCCTTAGAAATTCACGGAAAACTCCCGCACGGGCAGCGGCTTTGTCACCCCTCCCGTTGGTATCGTTAGCGTCAGTCTACCTCTCTCAGTTTGAGACTGATAATGGTCGGTGTCAGTTTCCAGTGATAATCCTACTAGATATTCTTGCTGACCGATAGACTGGCTCGATCAATCTCCTCATTCCGGTTGACATGGTTTCATCGATTATGCTGTTTAGCAGGATGGGCGTTACAGGGTTGAGCAGTTTGTATATATTCGAAGTGTTTTACGGCGTATTCTCAGCTAGTCCGCAATCCTTGTTTCCGGCCAGTCTAATATTATCAACAAAGGACTCGAAGAAGATTGCTGTTCGAACTGGAATGGTGTTAAGTATCAGCTCCGCAGCCCTCACAGGATTGCCAATTGGCGAAGCATTGATACAGACTGGTAGCGGCAGTTACTTGTATGCCCAGTGTTTTGATACTGTTATTATGCTTGTTGGGACTACCATACCTGCTGAATGGCAAAGTGTACAACATGGCATTATCGTCGTTTGTGAGAGGTGAAGCTGGGATTGAGGCACAGAAGAAGGTGTGGAACGAATTGAACGAAAACTTGGAAGAAATTCAGCCAGGGATCACGACATAACCTCGGTGTACCTGAGGAAGACAGCGAGCCAAATGGAGAGGCGTCGGGCTGTGAAAGGAGTCAGACGGAACTTGTCGATCTACATACGGTTACGTGGCTGGATCATAAAGCACTTGCTTAAGTACCACAGATTACCGAAGGACTACCGCTTATGGCCATGTCGAGCAGCGGCAGTGCACAGGATGATAGCTATCCGTTACCTTTAAGATATTGGTCTATGGCCTGCAGTTCTTATCAGATATGGAGGTTGTGTCGAACGCGAAACAGTAGGGAACATGGCTGAATCGGGACGATAAGACAAGACACCGCTTCTTATCATGGGACATATCGGGCACCATACTACCAGATAGATTTCTCTTCCAGTTTCCATACAACTTGCCCGGATTACTGCAGCGCGGCCCCTTCCGCGGTATGGGAATGCACTGCAGCATCGGTTCGGCTCGGAGCGGGATTAGGGGGCTTGATCACGTTTTCCCAACTGACTAACGGGCAAATGCCCGCCGCTTGTAAGCTTTTTCCAACCCGCCATTTGTGGTGGCGTTGGTTCTAATTATGCGAAAAGAATTAAGCGTATAGAACACAGAATTTGAAGGACGCTGTCTTACCAAATTCGGCTCTGCTTTGTAAGTATGGATTTTCATGTCCTGCCGATCTCGTTATTATCTGGTACCCATTTCTGCAGAATTCATCCCGAACAGTAAAGTGTATACGGCGTCGATTTTAGGGATTGAGCGATCGGAAGCCCACATATCTTTAAAACATAGTCCCACTGGATTTGAATGCTGAGGGGAATCTTCGTTGAGCCGCGTATCCGTTCACGGGTGGTTTCTTAAGAACTTATTCATGCTGAACTTAGAATCATGGATGTATTTCCGCACATCGTAGAGACCGAAAACCATGCCTCGCGCATGAAATGAATGATAATAAAAGGCCATATGAAGCAAATGAGACTATCTGCCAATTAACTTGCTGTATTAGCGACAAAAGAAATAACAAAAAGTGCAATGGCTCGGAAATTCAGCAGAATGCAACTGCCGGCAGACCCCGCCGCGGATGACACTCATTGTGGTGGGGTGAGTGACTATAAGATCCCAAGTCTCGCCCTAAGATGAGAGCACAAAATGGACGCCTTAGAGTACAATCCCAACCTCG